TTATTTTTTTTGGTGGGTAAGTGGGGAGAGAGCTCCTACTTTTGATAGGTAGGAATTGAGCCTAGAACGTAGCGTTGCAAATCGTCAAGCACTAACCAATTAAGCTCGGGCTCTTTGCTTGAAATAGAAAAAAAAATATCCAAACCTGCCAACAGGTTTACACAAATAGCTCAAGCTTTTAGAGAGCTTTGGGGTTCATTGGATCATAAAATTTGCATGTACATAGATCTCATCCTGATGATCAAACTTGAAAAAAAAAAAAGAAAAAAAATAAAATAAAATAAAATAGAAGAAGAAATAGAAATAGGATTGTCATTTTCAAATGATGGATTTTTTTTTTTCATTGTGTATATTGTTAATCACATGTGAATAATCTCAGCTCAAACAAATCCTTCTGTAATCCTGTTGGCTTTCTCCGAGTTATGGACCAAAAGCCCACCATTCATCGGCTAATTTTTGGAGTTTGGAGTGTTATACGCAAGTTTTACTTTCATGTACTTGCATTTTGACGCATCTCAATGCATTATGCTAACGATTGAAAAGGGCAAAAGCTAAAAAAAAGAGAAGAAAGAGGATCGACATATATTATATAACTAACACCATAAATTTTATCAGTAATCAGGAAGGTGAGGGATCTCTAATGCTTAATTACGCAAAAAAGTAAAAATAAAAGATATCAAGGCACCCTATTTTTCAATTCGTATATTTATTTTTAACATGGTTTGAAAATATTTAAAGCCCTTGTAGAAAATAAAATCAGAGACAGATGGATATATATATATATATAATTTCAAGTTCTAAAATATTGCATCTTATAGCAAGTTATCTTGACCGTCTATTTTTAAAGTTATCAAGTATTTGTTGATCCACTAGATCTGCACCATTTTAAAAATTTTAAATTACATAATTAAGGTTGAACATAAATTTGCAAACTATTGTAAGACTTCCAACATTGGAACTACATCTTCCAATAAAATTTAAAGGTGCACCTTACTTATATAGTATAAGGTGGGTGCTTCATGCAAAATAAATCCATAATAATATTATTATAAAAGTAATAATATATATTAATATTTAGTATCATGATACTATAATAATATGAATAATGGCAATATACTGTATTCTAATAATAAATAGCGCAAATATATGATGAGACCATTTGTCTTTAGTACAAGATGGCCACAATTAATCTTGACCATTGGATGTGAAATTGGGCGACTGCATTTATTTCATTGACCAAGCTCAAAATTCAAAAAAAAAGTTCTCGAACTTTGTGACATATCCAACCTATCAGATTTCACACAGATGGTTGTAAGTAATTGTGACCTCCCTGTATTAAAGGTAAATGGTCTCATTGTATACAATCCTTAATAAATATTATTATTGTTGTTACTATTACTAAAAACATTTTTGAAAAATACTATTATTAAAACATTAGTCTTTAATATCGTTAATAAAAAATTATAATAAAATAATAACAACATATATTAATAATAAGTATCATAATAATATGATAATATGCTTACTGTATATAGTAGTAGTACTAATAGTAATGACAAGAATATCAACAACAATAATAACGACGACAACAACAACTACGCTTTGGCTAAGCAGCCGTCCCAAGCTTATCTCAAGCCCGGGTAAAGGACGAGGGTTGTGTTAGGTGGGCGGTCAGTGTAAAACTTTGTTGCAACTTTTCATTATAAATAATAATAATAGTCACTATTATCATTATCTTCTTCAGTGATAATAATGTCATCATATTATTATAACAATTTATATAGAAGTAATATTGTTGATATTCGTAATGCGATATTGTAATATTATATGATAATAATATTTTGAATTATAACAATAATAACATAATAATTATATTGTTTTGTTGTTCTTATTTTTATTGTCATTATTTTTTCAAAGTAATTTATGATAATATATTCAATAAACAGCAAACACAAGTTACACAAACAAAAAAATCCAAAGATTTACATAACCTGGGTACCTTTCAAAGCTATCTAAACAATCCTATTTCAGTAACTAGGTTTTAAGGTAACGAAGATTTAGCATAATAGAGTTATGATTCCAAACCTAGGTTTGTTTACTCAAGGACCAAAGACTTAAAAGAAACAAAATAAGGCAAGGGTGTGAAAGTATAGCAATTTTGACTAAACATGAATAAAGCCATCTTGAGAAACTCTACTTTGGATTGCGGGGCCAGAAATAAGGATTCAAAGGAAAGCTCAGCTCATGATTAATTAATCAACTCACAATTTTAAAGTGAAAAGCCGGGACATCAAATGATTTTCCAAAATTTAGCTTCTAGGATTAACGTTTTGGGGCGCAACCCCCAACTTTAGCGCTACTCAGATTTCTGGGAAATTGATATACTTGACAATTTTACATCAAGATATTGCTCATGCAATACATATGGTTAGTCAATTTCTGAGTGCTTCACATTCTGTACATTTTGCTACTGTTTTGCGCATCATTCGTTATATCAGAGACACCTGTCACCAAGCTTTATTCTTCTCATCTTCTACATCACTTGAGCTTTGGGCCTATACAGACTCTGATTTTGCAGGTAATTCGAATGATTGTAAATCTACCACATGATTCTACATTGTTTTCGGTGATTATCTTATCTCTTGGAAAAGTAAGAGACAAACAAATTGCTCAATCAACTACGGAAGCTGACTATCATCGGGCTATAGTACAAACCACTACCGAGATTGTTTGGCTACGTTGGTTGTTGGACAACATGGGTGTCACTATCTCTACTCCTACTCAATTTTATTGTGACCACAAAAGTGTTATTTATATTTTCAAAAATCCGAAGTTCCATGAGCACACGAAACATATTGAAGTTGATTGCCACTATGTTTAACAAAAATATCTAGCTGGCATAACTTTCTTACATATGTGCCCACCGCAACACAACTCGTTGATTTCTTCACTAAATCTCATGCCCCGCACCATTTCTCACAGTTTGTTTTCAAATTCTCCATGCTTCCTTTCAAATCATTTCGAGTTTGAGGGGGAGTGTGAACAAATATGGTAACTACAATAGATATAACAATTGGATGTTGAGATCTGTCAGTGTTTAATTGTATAATACACCCATATAGAAATTGTATCACATAGTTTTAATAAGTATTTCATGTACCATCTCTATTAATCTTCGATTGTATTGTAGTCTTATTCAATTCATTAAATACAAAAAAAAATTATCTCTCACAAATACGTCTTGATGTCGATATAATCAATTAGAGGTTTTCCAACATGGAAACAACCTTTCTCAGTGGAATTTTGAGGTGCACCTTAATTACGACCTTATATAAGCTTTATCCTTCGAATATCGTTTTCCATTAAAGTTTTATTTGGGTTTGCAACCGTGGTATTTGTATTGAGGTTTGTACATACCACCCTCAGTCACTCAATTTCGGTAATAAATTGTTTTATTGCTCATACAATTCCTTATATTCATTTGACTCAATCAAATCACTCGAGCAAAACAATGAAACCACTAATAATATGTTTATCCGTTCGAATCTGTTCTTTCCTTTTTGACAGTCCATAACAAGCGATAGATCTGTAACTAAGCCCAACATTTGCCATTGCTCGAATTATAAAAAGAAAAAAGTTTATATAAGGTTGCAATCTTAAAATGTAGAATTAAAGATGCACTTCAAAAATCTATCATAAAATGTTGTTTGGATGTTGGAAAACCCTCTAGTTGATCATCTTGACATCGAGATGTATAAATATGAAAAGAAAAAAAAGATTTTGAGCATGGATGTTGGAAAACCCTCTAGTCGATCATCTTGACATCGAGTTGTATAAATATGAAAAGAAAAAAGATTTTGAGCATGGATGTTGGAAAACCCTCTAGTTGATCATCTTGACATCGAGATGTATGAATATGAAAAGAAAAAAAAGATTTTGAGCATGGATGTTGCAAAACCCTCTAGTTGATCATCTTGACATCGAGATGTATAAATATGAAAAGAAAAAAAAGATTTTGAGCAAAAGAGTGTATCTTGCAATACATTATCCGGACTGTCTATTTTTAATATTTTCATGTGCTTATAGATCTACTTGATTTAAACCATTTTTAGAGTTTAAAATATTATCATTAGAGATGATCAAGTCATCCTGAGAATTTTTTATATCAAAATTACATTTATGATAAATTTTAGAGGTGCATCTTAATTGAATTGTTTAAAGTTGCAACCTTACATAAACCACACCGTTATAAAAAAAAGAAAAGGAAAACGATTATATAAAGGCGAGGCCCTAAACAATCAAATTAAGGGCACCTCAGAAATTCACTAGAAAAGATTTTTGAGATGTTAGAGATTATATGTCCTTGAAAATGGGAAATGTTTATATACTTTCTCTACAACATAGAAGATATATGCTTTCCCTACCTCCCAGCCATTCAATTTTGATCAAGTCAACCACTTACCGTATGATCCTAGATCTGACGTCTCAAATTATTTTATTTTTAATCTTTTAATACAAAATATATGAATATAGAATTTAATACGTGTCATTTTCTCATTGAGGCGCAACTATAAAAAATATTAAAAATAAGTTTTCAATAAAATATAATGACCAAAATACCACTTAAAACTTTCAAAGGTATTTTGGTCATTTTATTTTATTAAAAATATTTTTTTATATTTTTTACGGGAGCAAGTTTAATAGAGGATTGGACGCCTAAAATATGGTGTCAAAATATTTTACATATAAAAAAATTAGAAATAAAATAGGATATAGACGTGACATTGTGATTTAGACAATCTTTAACCTTCCATTCAGAATAGACGGTTGGATAAGACGACACATATAATTGTGGGGAAAGCATAAAATGCTTGCCCTTTAAAAATAGTCCTAAGATCCATCCGGAAAATAGATTTATTAAGAGGCCCGTATTTCTACATGTGCGGGCATGCCCGCCTAGATACCTGGTCCTAAAAAATAATGAGCACCGAACATATTCGAGCGAGCAAGTTGGGAATCTTTCTCTCTCTCTCAGGTCTTTGGTGCTTCAAGAGTTGTGAAAAATGAGGGGCTCTCTTTGTCTCTCATTTGTGACCTCTGCAAATCTCTATTACACAGAGGAGTGTTAGAGTTTCTCTATAATGAAGATGTAACGACTGTATATAATTGTAGTCGGCTTTGATTTCATAAATATATGAAATTCTTCACCATGATTTCCCTATTGCTTTGCTATTTCATGGGGGCTTTAACAGTTGTAATATTGGAAGCAGTGGCCCTTTTCTTTGTTGTCCGTCGCTTGGGTCAAAGAAGGCGGTGCCCTAATTCCGAGTCATGTGCTCCCGAATTGGATGCTAATCAATCGCTTCATTTCTTGCTCAATAAACAGGTCTGTCAATGTGTTAATTATTTGCGTTGATGGCGTGGCTTTTGTTAAATTTATTCGAGCAATTTCCTCTTGCATATGCCTCTTTACGGCAAGACTGGATTTGGCTGATCTTTTATTCAGTCTCCTAGGTTTCTCAGAGTTTTGAGTTATTGCCTATCTTGGGTCTTCCTCTTTTGCATGTCCTTGAGAATGTTATGCTTATTAATATTCTACTTTGTGTCGTTTGCAATGCTTTTCTAATCAACTTTCATGTAAAGAACTTCAAATTCTTCATCATTATCATTCGAGCCTTATCCCAACTATTTGGGATCGGCTACATAAATCCCGTTTTCCGATTCGGCTCTATTAAGGGCCATACCCATAGTAAGACCATAAGGTAGATTCAGGATTCATGGAAAGTTGCATAAAGTTTCACGTTGGCTACCTATATAACACAACCAACCCTCCTCCTTTATCCGGACTTGGAACTGGCATTGACCGGCGGGGGCTGCCAACATAACACAACCCTCCTCCTCTTTTACCCGGACTTGGAACTGGCATTGACCAGCAGGGGAACGTGGCTGCCTACCTAGACTTTTGGCATTGACCGGCAGGGGGCCGACCAAGGTGGAGCCCTTCAAATTAATTACAAAAATAAGTCATTTAAATGATTAAAAAGAGGGTATCTCATACTCACCAATGCAAATAGTTCTTGTTTTTGCCAACATATGTTACAAAAAAGAACTGGACCTCAAGCTATGGAGTTCATTCTTACCCAGTTTGACAATTTAATTAGCTAAAGTGAGAATGTTGAATGGACACCTACTATTTGTCTTGCAATTTCCGTTATGTGTGCATGACATTTTGTTTCAAATTGAACTAAGAGCATCCCTTCATGGTTTCTTATTTCAAATGTAGGAAAGAGAGGAAAAGTTGAGATGATCTTTTCATTTTTTTGGTTAAATTTTTTTCTTTTGGATACGGTTAACATTGTATTGATGGTAAGAGAAGTACAAATCAAGAGGTCACCTAGAAGAGTGACCAAAAAAGAGAAAAACCGAGAATCAAAGAAAGGAAGAAAAGGGGGAACGCAGCCCCGTAAATAATATCTTGTTTTCATAATTTGATGAAGAACTTGTGGCTGAAGTTTTTCAATTAATGGCATGACATGATTTAAATCCCTTACAAGGAGTATACTCACAAAATCAACTCTGTGATGAATCTCTACCAAACTACAAAAATGGTGCACTTAGGAAGTGGTGCAGACCTAGTATCTTGGAGCTAGGGTTTAGTGAAGAAGAAGATAAGGAAGATCCAAACTTAGAGAAAGATTCAAAGATTCAAAACTAGAGATAAAAGAAGAAGCACTTGCTAACTTCAAAAAAAAGGAGCACTTGCTGCTCTTTTTGAAATAAAAATCCATAATAAGATCATCCATTATGCTTGAGTACATCCTTGTATAAGAAAACCCTAAAGAAGATTTAAAGCCATCCATCTAATATAATCATACATATTAATTATAAAAGACTTTAAGTTAATAAAAAGACATAAAAGAATCTAGAAATTACTACTTATTCCCCTAAATGAATAAAAGACTCAAGAAATAAATAAAAGGTGCGGTTTGTATAGAGCCTAGGCTCTAAACAATCAAATTAGAGCCTGCCTTCAAATAGTGTCGAGAAATGCAGTTTCACTACTGAAAATCTTTGTGATAGCCTTAAACTATATTTTCATCTTTATTTACAAGGTTTAAAGCTTCAAAAATAGTGTAGATCGGCATATCTATGAAAACTTGAAAACCTTGAAAATTGACGGTCCAAAAATGCGTTACAAAATACACTATTTCTCAAATTTAAAATCCATTTTTTTCTCATGCCCATGCATCTTGATGTCGAGATGATCAATTTGACGTTATTTGGGCATCAAAACAACATCTTCTAGTAAAAGTTTTGAGGTAGGCTCAAATTTGATTGTTTAGAGCCTCTGCTCTATATAAACTTTTCCCATAAATAAAAGGCATAAAAAGATAGACTCAATGACTAATTTACCCTTCTATGGTTCCTCTTGTAAACTTTAAGCGGCGGCTCGTTGTCGGAGGTATCACCACGATATGGAATGAGATGCTCGACATTAAGAACATCAAAAGTGCGAATATGGCTTGATAGCTTTAACTTTTAGGCATTGTCATTGATCCTCTTCAAAAAATTTAACCGTCCTATCTTGACAAGACTTGAGATCAAGGTGTGCCATTTTACTGCATTCCCCATAGATATTGGATTAACCACGTTTTGGGCCCATTGGGAATTGCCATACTTGTAGTACATAAGCACAACATACTTGGTCCTGAACATATCGAAGAATATTCTACCATTAATTTTGAAGAAGCTCAAGATTAATGATGCATTACCCCGTGATTTTCTTCAATTCACACATAGTGATTACTGATTAGATATAGAGGTTCTCCACTCAAAACAAAATAATTGGTGAAGCTAAACTCCAACATGATGAATTATATAAGCAACCATTCGGTGGCCACCTTCTGTATTGGACTCACTAGCAAAAAAAGCTCATAGGAAAATGTCACCAAACCTTTGGGGCGCACCTCACATGATACTCCATATTCGGGTAAAACTCCAAGAAGAAGAAGAACATTATCATTATTACCTCCATCAACGCCATTCTCCTCCATACTCTCTTTGGGGACTAAGAAACCAGCTATCTCCAATATTTTGGGAACAACTCCTTGTCATCCACTTCGTACTTCATCAGGACCGGGTGCGTCCACAAAATCCTCTCTCGTGGTAGGATCTTCTTCTTGATCCTCTTTATGGATTGGATCACCATTAAAGCTATGATCACCCACTTCTTTCTCAACACCCAAATATTCATCCAGGTACTTGTCAAAGACCAGTTGTAAGGTCTGGTCCACAATGTGTTGACCTTGAGAACCATTTGGTGAGAACAAAGTTTCTCCATGCTTGTCCTCAGATAAACTTCCATAATACTCTTGGATCTCAACCTTGAGACCAGTTTTCCATCTCCTACTATCATTATCCGTACGACCAACTACCTCTCTCCTTGGAGCTTGGTCATGGAAGAGATGTATGGATTCCTCATCTACTTCGATCTCATACTCCTAAGATGGGGCTTCCATCTGTGCCAAGTGCAGAGTTAGGGTTTCGACCAATCTCCTTCAATTTGCAATCTTTTCTCTCAAACTGGCATCAAATGCTTCTAAGGTTACCACTTTTCCTCCTTTTCCTCTGTGTAGAGGCATAGTTGTTGATCTAGGGCAGAAAAATGGACGCTATAGTATTATGCTATGGTAACGTGCTACAGTACCGTCCTTACTGATCGTTGAGCTCTGATACCAACATGGCGCAGATCTAGTAGCTTGGAGCTAGGGTTTAGCAAAGAAGAAGATAGGGAAGATCCAAACTTAGAGAAAGATTCAAAACTAGAGATAAAAAAAAAGGACTTGCTGCTCTAGGGTTTTGAATAGAAATCCCTAACAAGATCATCCATTATGCTTGAGTACATCCCTTATATAAGAAAACCCTAATAAGACTTAATCCTTGTCGTCTGCCTAATCTACTAATGGCCATTTATTATAAAAGACTTCAAGTGAATAAAAAGACTAAAAAGACTCTAGGAAATACTACTTATGCCCCCAAATGAACAAGGGACTCAAGAAATTAATAAAAGACATAAATGGATAGACTTAATGACTAATTTTCCCTTTTGTGGTTCCTCTTGTAAATTTTAATTTTATCTCTATTGTCTAGATACTCGAGAGCTGTATTCTGGGCTACATCAGGGAGGATTTGTGGACACTTTCATAAGTGAGTTGCTCAGCTATTTGATTGTTCTCGCATTTAGAGTGATGAATAGCAGCAAATGGGTCCCTGAGAATTGAAAATATCTCCTCAAAGACGTTCATTAGTATGCATGACGTTTTGATTCTTTCTTTGCTCAAGCAATACTTTGGATCTCCTATCACGAATTCTGTCCATTTTGGTTTTAGCTTGCATAAAATACCTAGCAATGCTCATGCCTAAGCCTCATTTGCATCGCATATTGATAGAGAACCAGACTATATCATTTGCATGCTTCTTGTATGATTCCTTATCACTCTTCCTGCACCTGTCAGACCTGATTTCCCTTGGAAACTGCTGTCCAAGTTGATTTTCACCTTTGGTACAGGTGGAGAGGATCATAACAGTGAATCTCTTTATTTCTGAGGATGGTAGTTGCAATTTGGTACCACTGGTTTTTGAAGTCCTTCACATAAATGCCTTAAAATTCCTTATGCACCCTTGCTCTTGGAATCATGTTGATTTCTATCTTATCTCTTAACCACACCAGTCCATGTCTCCATGATATTTCTCTACAAATGTTCGACTATTTCTTTCGTTCCTACCGACCCATAGAATGTTAGCATAAGCATCATCCATAGGTTTAATCCTCTTTGGCTATGGGCAGGGATATTTATTTCTCAAATAGATATTATCTTGATTCTGGATTGGCCCATTGGAATTGGAAGAGATCAAAGAAATGTTTCCATAATTTGGTTGTTAAATCACGGTGTACTACTAGGTGTTTTATGTTCTCGGCCTTCTTTCTGCACATTATGCACCTTTTGGGAATTGCCATCCCTCTGTTCATCAGATGGTCAATTGTTACGATACATCTAACAGTATTAGCCAGCCGAAGGTCTGCGTTTTGGGTGGGGCTGTTATAGAACCACTCAACCACACCTACGAGGTAGCATTTGGTTCTTTTAGGTGGGGATCAGAAACTTTGCAAAGCGATTTAGCTGAAACGGACCTTCACTGTTTGCATTCTAAATTATGCGATCTTCCTTTGACTGGATGTAAAGGAATTTCCATAACACCTCTAAGAAACCATTAGTTCCTTCGTCATATTTTAGGTTCCCACGCAATATAGGAGTCCACATTGCTGTTTCCCCAGCCCCCTGCACCACTTCTTAAACTATCTCCATTGTTTAGCTGCTTTCGCATGGAGCTTTAGCATTTTGCTTTTATTGTGCTGTTCTTTAACCATATATCTTCCCAAATTTTGTTCAGCATCCATTGCCAACCTAGAATTGGTATGCCCCATGAATTTTAATCCGACACTGTTTTACCCCTCTCTAAATTCCCCGATAATTGCTTGGTGGTTTTGTGATTTTTAACAAACTAGCTAATGCGTTTTGTGCTGCAGGGTGCATCTTCCTCCAGACCCTTCCACTGGCATGATGTTCTCACTCTAGAAATCCGCATATTTACTTTTGACCACCTGCTCCTGCAACTGTTGTGCTTGTTTTGAGAGTGTCTACCACCACTTACCAAGCAACACTTGGTTTGTTTCTTGAAGTTTCTTTATCCCCTGCTGCCCCATGTTCTTTGTATGACAAACCTTGTCCCATTTAACTACATATTCTTGCTTTCCTGTGCCACATTCCAACAAAAATTTCTCAGTTGTTTTTCTTATATCTTGCAACACACTGTGGTGTAGGAAGCAAAGACAAAGCACAACTTTGGGAGTTGGATAGACATCATTTTATCATAGTTATCCTGTCCCAAGGGTAGGAATCTGACCATGAGTTTATCAGAGATTGGATAGACATGAGTTTTCCAAGCTTGACCATCTGTGAAGTCTGCACTCATAATTATGACCGAGCTGGCCTATGATTCAGTTGAACCTCTATTCTGATTTCCATTTAACTTGAATTTTGTTTTCTATCAGCCGACATGGTAATAAGATTATGACCTGCTTGCTTAGATCCAGATTACGTGCATGAGGCAACAGGTGGGTACATCATGAATTCTTGTTAAGGAGTTGTCGTGACTCTTTACGTGTTACCTCATTTGTTTCTTCTTTCACAGTTCAGTTGACATTAACTACACTTGTTCTTTTTTACTCCTTGAGTGCTTTTTATTTTGGGAAAATATCGTACAGGCCCTAATTCCCCATCTTATTTCACGGTAGACCGTCCTTCTATTTTTCTTTCAAGCGGCATAAAAAAACCCTCGAGTATTTCGTCGTACCCCCTCATCTCTTCTCTCCCATGTTTATTCACTTTTGGCCACAAAAAA